AAAAAGCCCCCCCCCCCCCCTCTTTTTGCATTATTCGCCGCGTCGTCGTGCATATCCAGGTCTGCCCGCTTTCAAACCTGGAGAAAAGGTCGAGATCCCGATTGGCATGGATGACGATCTCTAAGCGGTGCTGCGTTGCGAGATCACAGCAACACGTCACTCGTTCGAATCACAGCATCGCGTCCGGTCCTTGATCAGTAATAGACCTGCTTATAGAAGAGGCCCGACGTTTCATGATGCGTCATCGATCGATCGCTGCAGGTGCGGCGCAAACCTTCGTGCCGGCGCAGCATGCGCGCGTGCCCATATCCAGCTGGTCAATCTACCATGTACTGAGCGAAAGTGATCCGGCCTGCATGAAGCATGGTGCATGGGTTGGAGAGGTGTTCGTGCGCCGGCAATCACGGGGGTAGAGGTCGCATTGATTTGGGGATCTGTCATGGTATCGGTCACACAAAGTACAAGCGGGATAAGAGTTGTTTCAGTAATACATGATCCGTCTCTTCTTTTGTTACATTTCAAACAAAAAAAAAACGAAACGTCTGAGATGGGGGAAACCTGATGGAATTCTTGCGTCGCTCATTCTTCAATCTTCCTCCTGCTCATCCTCATCCTCATCCTCATCCTCATCCTCTTCGTCTTCCTCTGCGCCTTCGCCTTCGCCTTCGCCGTCCGAAGCGCTCCTCTCCAAGCTCTCCTTGTCCCTCTCCTCCATAGCAGCCGCCACTCGCTTGGCACCTTTGAAAGCAGCAGTGGCGAATCTGGAGATGAAAGGTTTCAGAGCATCCGTCCTGCTCGACGACGCCCAGCTGGTCCAATCTTTGCTCGTAGGTAAGAGAGCCACTTGATCCGGATCCGGATCTGGAGAGCCACTGACAGAAGTTGGCGTTCGCTTGCTGATGGCTTGCGTAGCGCATGCCCCTTCAATGAGTTCCACCGCTTCCAGTCGGTCGTACGTGGGGCTGAGCAACTTGATCAGGTGCATCTGTAGAGGGGGCATAAGTAACCTGGGCGCGAGCTATCCAGTGCAAGCAAGGGGACTCACCTGAGTGACTCCAGGCTGCTCAAAGACCCATCCGAGCACAACCCCAAGGCCTCGTTCCCACTCTCTTTCAGCGGTATTCCCGTACAAGTCGTACCATATTCTTGGAAAGATGCGACCTCGCATCTTGACAGCGCTCGCGCGACGCGCTCCAGCATCGTAGCGACGTGGAGCATCCACATCTTGTTCGCGCCCCAACAGCAACCTTGGCAGATCTGGCGATCCACCTTCTCGAGGCTGACGGCGCCTTCTCTTGTTTGGAGCGTCGACGAGCTCGACGGAGGGTGAGCGAGATGGCTCGCGTTCCTCGACAGGCTCGGCAGCGATTGGGATGGTCCAATGCAAAAGGTAGGAAGCGTCCACCAGGCGTGTTACATCGTAACCTGCCCAAAAGAGCAAAGGCGGTGAAGCGTGCAGCGCTAGGTCGATAGCTTTTTCGATTGTATCCGAGCTCGACTCTGCAAGCTGCGCCTTGAGATGAGCCGCAGTGCGTGAGAATCATGCAGCCAAAGGCGCGAGCAAGCACATTCGCAATCTCACCTGCAATTGGCTCCATACTGCGCCTGCCTGACCGGCTGCCAGCACAATTTCGTACAGCTGCACGAGGCAACGCCTCAGCGCTCCTTTGGCCTTCTTGACCTGCGCCTCCCACGCCTGCTTGCAATGTGCTCGCAATTGGAGCTGCTTGTCTGCCAAGGTGAGCCATCGTAGCACTCCCTGTGCTGGGATAGCAGGCATTGCGAGCGAGGGATCGTGGGAATGCGAGTCGATCTTGAGCGTGAAGAGCATTTCCATCAACTCGTCATCTATCGTCGGCATGCGATGCAGGTCAGCAGGAATTTCTCGCCACACATCAGTCGATGAACGAAAACTCACCAATGCGCCTAGTGTTAATCTTGTACTGTTGCGCGACCGTCTCCAAAGACTTCATGTTGAAGTCAGGAGAAGCGACGTGATCGGAAGAAAGCGTCAAGAGCGCCGCTACTTCCGTGTCGCTGAGATTCGGCATGACTTGGACTTGTCCTGCATCGACGTGCTTCTTGACCGCATCGGCAATTTTGCGAACATCGATGGAAGAGTAGGGATGCACAAAGGCATTGTCCACCCAAACGAAATTGTTTCCAGGTTGTCTCTTTTCCCTTTCCCATCGTATAGCTTTGACATCGAGCAGGTGCTTGATGGCCAGACCCAAATTGTCTTCGCCCACATGAGAAGCAACGGCAGTGGTGACGTCGATCTGCTCAGCTCCTGCGCCACCAGCCACGCGCATGCGCGCGAACGCGCTGGCGAGCGCAACTTCAAGACTGCTGGTAGAGCCGGCTGTTGCCTGCGCATCCTCGTCGCGCAGAGCTCTATCTGTCGAGACATCCAAG